CCCACGCACGCATCCCTGCCCCCCAAGAAGCCTCCCCCCTCCCCCCACCTGTAGCACCCTGTGCTGCGCCGCACCACCGCCACGTCAGACGACACCCGCTCCAGGTACACACTGCTGTCGGGCGTGACCTCGCGCCCCGCCAGGTACTGCCCCGGCATCTCCACCTCGTACACCTGCAGCTCCTGGGGGTCATGGTGACGACGGGTGACGTCATCGCGGCGACGGGTGACGTCACCGTTGAGGGCGAGGGTCGCGGTCAGGTTTGGACTTGGGGGCGATTTCGGGGACGTTGTGAATCCGTTGACACCGCACTTTGGTTATTAGGGGGGTCCCAGGCAGGGGGCTGCGCGCTAGGGGTGTGCCGCACGGACGGGGCGTCGGAGCGGGCAGCCCGAGCGGCGTTGTCAACCCGGGGGCGGTGGCTCGCGCCGCCGCCCCCCAGGGAGCGGCGCGGTGCGCGGCCGGGCCGACAATGTGTTCGCCCCTCACCAGCAGTCCCCTGCACTCGTCCTCCAGCCGCAGTGTGTTGGGCAGGCGGTCCTCCAGGTCCATCTGGGGGGGGAGAGAGGGGCGGTTGGCAACCGGTTGATTGGGGCGGTTGGTTGCGGCGGTTGGTCGGAGAGCGTTCTTTGGGGGGTTAGCTGGCATTCGTTTTGCGATTTCATGGCACGTTGTGGCGCCTTTGTTGGCGGTTGGTTGGGGACCGTTGGGGGGCGCTTTTGGGTGCTGGGTTGGTGGTTGTGTGAGGGTGAACGGAGGGGATTTAGGTTGATTGGTGGGAGAGAGGTCGTCACAGAGACACGAGGGCGGGGCCAAGCAGGACGGGCGGCTTCAAGGCCGACTCAGGAGCCAGCACCTGCCCCAACAGAAGGCCACAAATCAACGCACGCCGCGGGCCCCAGCGCCCCTTTCCAGATCCAAACACCAAAAGCTGCCCTTTGGCTGTTTGACAAGCGGATCTTCGTCATCCAGCCGGGCGCGCACCTGCAGTTTGTTCCTCCAGGCCTTGAGGCGGTTTGTGAGGTCGCCCAGATTTTTGGGGAACGTGGGGGCCTCCGGGTTGAGGTCGCGCACAAACGCCTCCCGCACGTTGGGCTGGGGGGCACGGGGGCGGTGGGGGCGGCGGTGGAGAGCGTGTGTGCGTGTGTGTGTGTGTGTGTGTGTTTTTGGGGGGCAGGCAAATGGCAGCTTGAATTGTTCGGAGAGTGCCTGGGCTTTCTCGTTGTCCCCCAGCATGTTGAAGCGGACGCGGCGCCACCCCCTCCACTCCAACTCCGATGGAAGGCGGTGCGGACGGCAGACATATTCGGGATGGTCTCAAGGCAGGCCACTACTGTGGCGCGGTCCCTCGGCGAACGGGCCGAGCATTCCAGCGCTGGAAAGGTGGAAAGCCGGGGACCCCCCCCTCCCCCCCGAGGGGCCGCGTGGGACGCACCTCGATGTGCACGCCGCGCGCCTTGCCGCCAGCGTCGCTGCTGAAGCAGGCCTTGCAGACGCCTGAGAGCTCCCGCGTGAGTGTATCGTTGACGGCCGCGACGCCTGACATGTGCATCTATGTGTGTGTGTGTGTGTGTGTGTGTGTGTATGAGGGGGGACAGGCGACGAGGTTGCTGGGTGTGCGTGGGTCCGTATGGGTGTACCAGTGTGTTAGTGTGTAGAGTGTGCAGTGAGGAGGGAGGGGAGGGGAGGGTGGCAGCAATCTGCACGGAACAATAGCGCACGTGGTGCAGGGGGCCAGCCGGCCGAGAGGCGCGGGGCCCCGCTGCAGGGACGCGCGCGGCCCCCCGACCGCTCCTGGCGCGCGGGCCCCGGCCCCACCTTGTAGCAGCGCGTCAGCAGGGCCGTCACGACGGCCAGCAGCCGCTCCCGCGGGTGAGTCATGAACTTGCTGCCGATCTGCGGGAGACGAGCAGGCGACCGGGCGCAAGGTGGATCCGGACGGCTGGCTCGCATCTGATAACTCAACCTGAACATGCCGGCCGCGGAAACATGGCCCCAAGCAGGGCGTGGAGAGGCCCTGGGCCGTGAGGCCCAAGCGGTAAGTCTTGGGCCGCCTCACCTCCCCTATGAGTGTCTCCAGGACGCCCCTCAGGATGGGGTGGTGGCGCGCCACCTCATCAAACACCTCCTTGGCGGCCTGGGGTGAGAGTGTGTGTGTGTGTCCGTGTGTGTGTGTGTGCGCGCGCGCGCGTGTGTGTGTGTTCCACACCGCTGCGTCAAAGTGAGAGATGTAGAGGTTCCAAGGTGGCTTGTTTGACCCCCGGCCCCGGCCCCCGCAAGTGAGCGCTGCAAGGCGCTGGTGGAACGCGAGGCGCCGCAGACAGGCCCCTGACAAGCTGCTTGCTTTGCCCCCGCCACCGCCGCCACAAGAGCGGACCCCGGATTACCTGGAAGGCCGCGATCTCAGGCGGCGGCTGCAGCGCCGCCAGCGCCGCGCGCGCCTCCGCCACGGCCGGGCCTGGGTGCGAGCGCGAGCGGTGATGTCATCGCGTGTCATGCATGTTGTGCGCGCGTGCCGACGCAAACCCACCCCACTGAGGGCGCCCCGCTGACGGCAGCAATCGGGGGCGACCGGCCCGCCCCAGACGCCACGGCCTACCCTCCCCATGACAGCATCCGGGCACCGCGCGGCTTCCTCTTCCCCCGCGACCCCCGGCCCCACCGCCGCCCCCCAACCACCAAACGCCCCATCCCTCAACC